TGAAGTTAAATGAAAGTATTCGGGATTTTTTCCTTCATTTTCTTTCTCAATCTTATCTCTTAGATCTCAAATTGCGTGACATTTTCTTCTTTTTTAACCTAATCAATCATTTAAGCTGCCAAAAATTTTATTCAACCTTTCAACTGATTTGATTCGTTTACTCTTTTTCTTTTATCAACCTTTTTTTTTTTTTTGAATTCCTTTGAATTCAATGTTCTTGAATGTGCAGGTGGTGTATTGGAAAAGAGTTTGGAATGAGAAAGCAGCGAAATGAGTTCAAATTCCAGTCGAGATTCAATGCACTCATTTTCGAGCAATTTTTAAAATTCATTTCGCCCCCGAGCAAGGCGATAATGCATGCCACTAAGAACAATAGGTTACTGGGAGTGAAAGAGAATGAGAAGGCTTTAGTGAGGAGAAAGGACAATGAAAGAATAGGTTTCAGGAAGACAGAAGATGGCGATAATGCCACTAAGACGCAATGGGTTACTGGGAGTGAAAGAGAATGAGAAGACTTTAGTGAGGAGAAAGGACAATAAAAGAATAGATTCCAGGAAGACAGAAGATGGCGATAATGCCACTACGACACAAGGGATTACTGGGAGTGAAAGAGAATGAGAAGACTTTTGTGAGGAGAAAGGACAATAAGAGGTTTCAGGAACACAGAAGATGACGATAATGCCACTAAGACACAAGGGATTACTGGGAGTGAAAGAGAGTGAGAAGACTTTAGTGAGGAGAGAGGACTATAAAAGAAGAAGTTTCAGAAAGAGAGAAGATGGCGATAATGGCACTAAGACACAAGGGATTACTGGGATTGAAAGAGAATGAGAAGACTTTAGTGAGAAGAGAGGACAATAAAAGAACAGGTTTCAGGAAGACAGAAGATGGTGATTGAGGTTACATTTAAATTTTTGAAGATTGTAGGTCGAAGGGAGGTAAGAAAACCGAAGTGAGTTCCACGGACAAGTAGTGCGAGAAAATAAACTAGATAATAAATTAGAATAGAGCATGGACTTAATATAACAATAAAGACAATGAGACCTAATTGTCAATTTAGTCTTCTTTTATGTTTCGTATCCTTCAATACGTAGGCAATAATGGCCCTCCACATCCTCTTCCCTCTTAATAAGTAGCTCTTAATAAATTTTGTCTTTTTGTTATTTCTCCCAAACCCTGTTTTACCATCCATTTATTCAAGCTCATCAAGCATGTTACGCGTTGCTTATCTCCCTCTTTCCCTCAATTTGTCCTGTTAGTATCAGGTTTTCCAAGCCTTCCTTCCTCATTACGTGCTCCAGGAATTTCAACTGCCTATTCCTGATGTTGATTATAAATTTTCTCTTTGTTTCCATTCTCTACAAAACCTCGACGTTGCTCAAATGTTCGGTCAATGGTATCCTCAGCATCCTTCTGTAGAACCATATTTCTGTTGCTTCGAGTCTCTTCTTCATCTTTTTTTCTTAGATAATAATAGTTGTGTTACAAATCTTACTAATTAACCCATAGTTGGGAGGGGAAGAGGTTGATTCATGCATAATCAGAATTTGATAAACAAGCAAGAAATTATAATGAGGATATAAACTGGGGGATCGATTATATATTACAACCAATATATAAACTGACCCCTCACTTTGTAACCACAGTAGTTTCTATACATTTGAAATCATAATCGTTTAGCAAACGAGAAATTATAATGTGAATTATAATTATAATTTGAAATTATAATATGAATTATAATGTGAAAGAGAGGGATCAGTTTTACATTAAATCATATATGAACTGATCCCTCTATCTCTTCTGTGAGTATTATATTTTCCAAGCCCTCTTGTCTCATTACGTGCCCCAGAAATTTCAGCTGTCTCTTTCTGATGTTAAGCATGTTTCCACTTTGTTTTCATTCTCTCCAAAACCTCGTCTTTGCTCAAATGTTTGGTCCATGGTATCCTCAGCATCCTTCTGTAGAACCACATTTCTGTTGCTTCAGTATGCTTAAATTAATGCAGTCTATGTACCACGGAAGAATATTTGTAGAAAAGCCAGAGGGAAGCTACGTGATTATGGTGGGAAAAAGACTGATGTCGAGATGCCAGGGCAGGACCGATAAGATTACAGACCTTTCTTTGGATTTCGCGGAGAATTTCAATATATATATATATATATATATATATATATATATATATATATATATCACAAACACCAGATATGGCAGCAGTATTCAATGCATGAACAAATGGTAGATTTATAAGTGTGCAAGATGGATTCTGTCAAGAAAAATCTTTTGGCACGGCACAGTGAACCAACTTTCCTAGCAGTAGACGGAGAATTTGATATTTTGTAATGGCGGCTTTTTTTTTTTTTGTAATTTGCAACTGGAAATTACTATTTCAGACTTCATTTTTTGTGTGTTAGGCTCCTTTAGGATGTCATTGATCATAACTCTCCACAAGTTCCTGTCTTTTTTAGTTCTTTGTAATGGCTTCTTAGATTTTGTTGAGAATCTTGATATATATAGTAGGAGTCACAGAGCAGAATGGAAATGTCATTGGGAAAAGTATAAATCCATTTCTTCTCCCCCCCCAGATATGGGTTAATAAATAGTAGAGCAGAATGAACTCTTCAGCTGTGGTTAGAAACTAACCGAGGAGAAGGACAATACTGGATGCAGTCTCGCGAATTTTTTTTTAATAAAATGGCAATTCGCAGATAATAAAGGAAAGCGTGGAGAGCTATGATCACCTAGGTCCCCAAAATACATAGCATTTACAAATATTTTTCACTAAAATGGCAATTCACAGATAAATAAATAAAAGGAAGCTGTAGAGAGTTATGATTACCTACAGATCTGTGGAGAGCCATGATCTTCTACGTCCAAAAAGGACATGGCAATTAAAAACATTTTTAATAAAATGACAATTCACAGATAATAAAGAAAAGGAATCTGTGGAGAGTCATGATCAACTCCGTCCGGAAAGAACATGGCATTTAAAAACGTTTTTTCTTACTAAAATGACATTTCACTGATATTAAAGAAAAGGAATCTGTGGAGAGCCATGAGCAACTACGTTCCGGAGGGGTATTACATTAAAAAAATAAAAATAAAAATATTTTTTTTTAATTCTTATTTTAAAATATTATTTGCCTGTAAATATTTTATAAAAAGAAAACACTGAGTGTCGGATGGCTTCAAATCATACTGAAAATTTTATTCTTCCCATGATGCACTTTTTGCCCAGGATGTCAGGAATACGTTGTTTACCAAAGATTATTTTGTTTTGTGATTTAAATTCCAGAAATTTTTGCAGACACACGGAAGCATAATTCCAAAGATGAAACTGAAAAAAATTAACCAACAGCAAAACATAATTGCTCCTATCCATCCAATATATATATATATATATATATATATATATATATATATATATATGTGTGTGTGTGTTTGTGCGTGTGGAGAGAGAGAAGGAATATCCGTCAACAGTGGGGTTCAGGAAGGAAGTGGAGTATATATTTTTGTAAATATGTTGGAAAATTTGGACTTAATCCAGAACCAAATGGAATTTTAAAAAAGCAAAACAACGTATTAAGAAAGAGAAAAATTTCATTAGAAACAAAGATAAGAAATTGAACTGTTACGTAATATCGGTCCTCCAATATAGCAGCGAATGTTCCCCTCAGAGACTTGAGGCAACAGAAAAACGTTTCTACGGAAGGATGTTGAGCATACCATGGACCGTACCTGTGAGCATCGGCGAAGTTTTAGAGAAAACAGAAACAAAAGTGACACTCAGCAAGACAGGTGAAATATTTAGGACATATAATGAGGAAAGAGGGCTTGGAAAATTTGATACTCACATGACACAAAGAGAGAAATAAGGACAAAGTAAAACTATGCATATCCTAACTAGCCAGCATGAGTAAAATTTATTAAGAGCTACTAAGTACAGGAAATTGCGGAGAGCCATGATCGCCTACGTCCTGAGGGGACACGGCACATAGAAGAAGAAGAATGAGCTTGAATAAATGGATGGTGGAACAAGGTTTAGAAGAGATAAGAAAAAGATAAAATTTATTAAGAGCTACAAAGGAGAGGAAATTGAGGAGAGCCATGATCGCCAACGTCCTGAAGGGACATGGTATATAGAAGAAGGAGCTCAAGTAAATGGATGGCGGATCAAGGTTTAGGAGAGATAACAAAAAGACAAAATTTATTAGGAGATACAAAGGAGAGGAAATTGTGGAGAGCCATGATCGACAATGTCCTGAAGGGTCACGGCACATAGAACAAGAATGAGTCTGAGTAAATGGATGACGGACCAAGGTTTAGGAGAGATAAGAAAAAGACAAAATTTATTAAGAGCTACAAAGGACAGGAAATTGTGGAGAGCCATGATCACCAATGCCCTGAAGTTTCACAGCACATAGAAGAAGAAGAATGAGTTTGAGTAAATGGATGACGGACCAAGGTTTAGCAGAGATAACAAAAAGACAAAATTTATTAAGAGATACAAAAGAGAGGAAATTGTGGAGAGCCATGATCGCCAATATTCTGAAGGGACACGGCACATAGAAGAAGAAGAATGAATCTGAGTAAATGGATGGCTGAACAAGGTTTAGGAGAGATATCAAAGAGACAAAATTTATTAAGAGCTACAAAGGAGAGGAAATTGTGGAGAGCCATGATCGCCAATGTCCTGATTCTTTTTCTTTCTCCTGTTCTTATTATTAAGAAATGAGCAATGACAAAAGTTTGAGAGAAAATGGAAACAAAAAGGACACTGATACAGAAAAAAGATTTCTGAGGCGCACTCAGAGGACATGGAAGCAAAAAGGGACAGAGGAAAACTGCATATAACATACCTAAGAAGCTTGTGTAAATAGTTGGCAGAACAGAGACTGGGGGAGGTTGCACAAAGAAAAAATTTAAGAGCTACAAAGGATAGGAAATTGTGGAGAGCCATGATCACATGCGTACATAGCGCATAGAAAAAGTATTTGCTTACCTTAAGGTTTGCAGCTCTTAAAGACACGTTCTTTTTTGTTCCAGATGCTACAGGAATAACAGGAGTGCTGTAATCAATTCTTGGACAAAGTTCGGTTCCAGCATTCTGTGATTTAAAATAAATAAAAACCAATGTTAAAATAAATAAAAACCAATGTTAAAATATTAGGAATAAACAAATATTACGAGAAAAAAATGAAAAAAAAACACCAAACAATGCACATAAAACTAATTCTACATTCTGCGTTTTTCTTTAGGTTCTAAAGAAACATTGCAAAGAGAAGGAGAATAAAAGGTGTGGCAGGTGATAAGGCTTTTTTCAAATCCCAATGTGGTCAAAAGGGCATTAGCTATGAACTTGAAAGTCAGGCTCAGGATGTGTGGGACAAGTACCACAGGACATTAGGAGTTACCTTTTAAGGTTCAGCATAAACAGATAACTGAAATTTTATACAAGATCAGCGTTCCGTTTAAATATGATCACGTAGTCGTCACGTGGACGATGTTGTTAAAACGTATTCGAAGATGATTTCCAAATATTAAAATATTAAAAAGTCGATTGAAAAATTTTGTATAAACAGTTCAAGAAATCTCTTCCGTTGATGTCGGAATACGTAGTGATCAATAGGTTCTTATATCTTCAACAAGCTTGAAGTCCTTCCCGTGACAAAGCAAATCAAAAAATGATTTCAAAAACGATGGAACAGTTCTAAAAAACAGTTCGATAATAAATCCTTTCCTTACTTGATCAATAGATTCTTATATTCTCGTCCAAGCTTGAAGTCTTCCACGTTATATCTGTTTGGATTAGTTGGGCTCTTATGTCCATCGTCTTTTGTGTTAAATTTTTATAAGTTCTAATGTTAATTATGTTTAAATGAAAATGTCCATGAAGACGGTCTTAAATAGACCGAAACGTCCGACGTCGACTTTATATTAACATTAATACTACATAATTGCATATTCAGATTTTTGTTTGTTTTTTCTGTATTTTTCTTCATACTGTCGGATCTATATCCATATATTTGCTTACATATATATATATATATATATATATATATCTCATAAAGAGGTAATCATACCAAGAATTAATTCGTAATGTTAATGGAATTAATGACGAAATCTCTTCGCTAACAAGATTAATAAGGCATTAACTTACTAACAATTCATTGAATAACGCAATGTTTAAATTGTGGTTAGATAGACTTGATGTTGCTGGGCCGAGTACTTTCGAAAATTTGACATTTTCATCCTCAGGGCGTAATTTTTACATTTACGAGTAAACCCCAAGACGAAATAAATGTATTGTAGACCGAAAGATTTATTTATTGACAGTTATATAATTTTGGAACGTGCAATGTCGCAACGCTAGAGTTCTAGTTTAAATACATATATATTTCCGTTTATATGTTATTTTTATAGATATAATTTACTTAAGTAAATACTCTGTTTTTTTTTTAATTAAAATCTATTTCATAATATGTTGTCATTCTTAACGTTAAGATACGTTTCGTAACCAGAAATCATCGATCGAGAAAAATCATCGAAGGCGTGTGTTTATAACCAAAAATTTGGACTTTGCTAACGAGGCTCTTTGTGGCTGAATGGTTAACAGCACATCAGATCAAAAGATGGTTCCCATTGAGTGTTTCAGTTTTGATTCCTGCCGGAAACGCACATATTTTCTATGAGTCAAAAACTGGTAAATGTAATTAATACTATTTAATTAAAAAAACAGATCATTTACTTAAATAAATTATATCTATAAAAATAGCGTATAAACAGAAAGTATATTTAAATAGTCGGACATTCCATTATATATATATATATATATATATATATATATATATATATATATATATATATATTCGACTCTTCAGTCGAATTCGACGTATGAGGGTAATGCAGCTCAGTTCGACATCAGCACAGTGGTGAAGGTTTTGTTTCGAACCATCCACACTTTTAGAAGGGTCGAATACAGAGACCTGGTGCACTACGTACATTTTTCCCCACTCCTAGACCACTTGCCATACAAGGCAGTCCGTCTTGCTATTTTCCCCTAGCTGGAGGGAAAAAGAAGAGAATTCATATCTTTCCCAAGGGTATTACCACCTAAGTGAATGTAATGGATTCAACTGAAATTCGAACTCAGCACTTCGATTCCTCAATCCAAGCCGCCATCCATTACTCCACCGTGCACCCTCTCATATATATATATATATATATATATATATATATATATATATATATATATATATGTATGTGTGTGTGTGTGTGTGTGAAAATATACAGAAAATAGGAAAGAACTCTTTAGGTAAATAATCCAAAGTCCTTTAGTATTTTTGTTATTATTTTTAAAAAAACAGTGCTCTATACAAAAGTAGAGCCTAAATATAATTAATTTAAAAATAAAAATTGAAACATGAGAACTCTTATGTAGCGATGAAATCATATTTTTAAATAAATAATTATATATATGTGTATGTGTGTGCGTACTGTTAAAAATTCTTCATTTATATAAATGATTACATTCATATCAATATATATACGTGTGTGTGTGTGTGTGTTTACGTGCGTTTATAGTGCTTATTCTTCATTTATATAAATGATTACATTCATATCACATTATATATATATATATATAAATATATATATATACATACACACACACACACACACGTGTTTGCACTGTTAAATATTCTTCATTTATATAAATGATTACTTTACTATATATCTTTTCATTACAGATTGAATGGGCAAATGAGTCATTTACAATAAAAACTTGATTGTTGTACAGTTTTAGGAACGCATCAAATACCAAACAGTTGGCACCTGCTTGACGTGAGAAACAAATTGGATCAATTTCCCAACCTAATATCCTTCCTATTCTACGTTCGAAATCCACTGTGATTTCAATCCGAAACCCCATCAGTTTACTGAGGCGTATTCCTTTTTATATAACAACGTTCGCAAATGATATTGTTCCAGGGACACGTACTCATTATTATTCATTGCGCACTTCAAACACTGGATAGCGGTTGTGTTTATTGTTTAGTATTCATGAGATCAATCAAAGAATTCACGTGTACAAGGAATCTCTAGCACGCTTAGTTACCTCATTTTCAACTTACATTTACTTTCGTTTCATTGGCTACTAACGTACGCACGTTGCCTCAACACATACTCGATTTCTTTTTTGTCTATTTATAGGTATTTAACCACATATAATGTCGAGCAGAACATGACACAATAGGATCAACATGTAGTATATGTTCTCTTCGTCTCTATCTCTATCTATAAATGGCAGGATGTGTGTGTGTGTGTGTGTGTGTGTAACGAATGCACGGCCGCAATTTTCGACGGATTTGCATCAAAATTTACATGCACATACTCCAAGTTAGCGGGAAGGCCAAGACCGACTTTACATTTCCCAACTCCCATCGATAGTGGAAATAATCGATTTTTTCATGCTTCTACGGCAGTTTTCATGTAGTTTGCGGCCATTTTCTACTGGCCAGAGTGAGAGCCAATAGCTGGCTGCCACGAATAGGCAGGAAGATTCTATTGGCCAGCGTGAGAGCCAACAGCTGACTGACACGAATGTTAACTAGCATACAAAAAAAAATCGATAGCTGCATTCGTCACAAGTGAGAAAAGTTTAAATCTGCATGGCACTTTACTCCAATTGGTTCATTCCCTTGCTTAAACTCAACGTTGATTCTGATTCTGCAGAACTGGGTTGGGTGTGTAAAAGTATTTGTTAACATTCTTTTTTCATTCGGTTTTTCCAGTCCTTTTTTAAAGCTGATCGTTTTGTGTTCATTTTGTTTAGTTCTTTTTTCGTAACACATTTAATGTTTAGTATAGAGCTTAGAAAAAATTCGCAGTGTGAGATAGGCAAGAAGTAAGGCATGTAGCAACATTATGAAATGGACAAAGTCCGACAATTATTTTAAGTCATTTTTATGATAATACATTCTCTTTATAGATACAAATATTTAAGTAAATGCTCTGTTTTATAATAAACAGTATTAGTAACATTTACCGGCGTGAATGTCCGAGAAATTTTCATAGAAAATATTCGTCCTCCGACAGGAATCGAACCTGTATCCTATACGGAACCGTCATATAGCCTGACGTGCCTTACCGTTTCGTCCACAGAGGAGCGTTTGGTTAGCAAGCTCGATTTTACTGTCTTTAAACTTCAGGTTCGGTTTTGCTGGTGTTCCCAAATCTATGCTGATCCAAGATGGTAGCACCTATGGGCAAAATAGTTAACCCCCAAACTAGGGTCAAAACACTATCAAAGTGTAAAAATAGGTTTTAATACCAGCAATATATTTTTGTAAAAATATTATTACCAGCAAATAATTTTGAAGAAAAAAATTATTACCAGTAATGCATTATTACCAGCAATAGATTTTTTAAAGATATTACCAGCAATACATTTTTTGGAAAAAATATTACCAGCGGTACCGTTTTGGAAAAAACAATATTACCAGCAATACAATTTTTTGAAAAAAATATTACCAGCAGTACATTTTTGGAAAAAAATATTACCAGCAATATATTTTTGGAAAAAAATATTACCAGATATACATTTTTGGAAAAAAAATATTACCAGTAATGCATTATTACCAGCAATAGATTTTTTAAAGATATTACCAGCAATACATTTTTTGGAAAAAATATTACCGGTGGTACCGTTTTGGAAAAAACAATATTACCAGCAATACATTTTTTTGAAAAAAATATTACCAGCAGTACATTTTTGGGAAAAAATATTACCAGATATACATTTTTGGAAAAAAAATATTACCAGCAATAAAAATCTTGTCGGCATTAAATAACACACTGAGGTTGATATGCTGTAAAACAAAACAAACCAAATCAAGCCCTCTACCTCGAGTGGCTCTAGGGGCTTGTAAGAAAAATCAGCAAATTCACAAACCAATGATTTGATCCACTAGGCTACATACATTCTGAGAAATATGGTAATAATTGGATAATGTTGTTATGTGATTAAATCAAAACCCTAAAGCGTAAAGGGTTGCTCATGTCAGGCACGCTCTCTTGGTTTGATGAAAGCTGGAAAGATTTAACGTT